CTGATATACCTGTGGCCTATCAAGATACAGATAACTACTGAGTATTTAGACTAAAGCTGGAAATACAAATTTGTGAGACTGAGTACTTGCCACAAAATAGAATCTCATGCTCGATGCCCTCAACAGAAATCAAACACTGTTTTGAGAGAATATTTTGGGAGAATTGTGTGCAAGACAAAAATTAACTTCACTTCAACATATTACAAAACATTTCCTTAGGAACACGAACCATATTGTACTGGCTTCATATTGTCACAGAATTACTTTAACTAAATTGACTCTTGTTCTGATGCCAGTGTCTAAAAGGAAAGTATTTACAAAATACAGACCTAAAAATTCATGGGTGCATCTTCTGGAATAACTTTGAGGATTTGATTCTCTTTTTTTTTACTGAAGTATAGTTGATTTACAGTGTGTTAATTTCAGGTGTACAGCAAAGTGATTCAGTTATATATATACATATACATATATATACATATACATAAATATATGTATATATATATATATATACACATATATATGCTTTTTCAGATTCTTTTCCATTATAGGTTATTACAAAATATTGAATATAGTTCTGTGCTATACAGTAGATTCTTGTTGTTTATCTATTTTACATATAGTTGTGTGTAACTGTTAATCCCAAGCTCCTAATTTATCCCTCCCTACCACCCCTTTCCCCTTTGGTAACCATAGTTTGTTTTCTATGTCTGTGAGCCTATTTCTGGTTTGTAAATAAGTTCATTTATATCATTTTTAAGATTCTGCAAATAAATGATATCATACGATTTTGTCTTTCTCTGTCTGACCTAATTCACTTAATATGATAATCTGTAGGTCCATCCATGTTGCTGCAAATGGCATTATTTCATTTCTTTTTTATGGCCAAGTAATATTCCATTGCATGTATAAACCATATCATCTTTATCCAGTCATCTGTCCATGGCCACTTAGGTTGCTTCTATGTCTTGGCTATTGTGAATAGTGTTGCTATGAAAACTAGGGTGCATGTCTCTTTTCAAATTAGAGTTTTCTCCAGATATATGCCCAGGAGTGGGATTGCTCAATCATATAATAACCCTGTTTTTCATTTTTAGGGAAACTCTATACTGTTTTCCAATTTACATTCCCACCCACAATATAGGAGGGTCCCTTTTTCTCCACACCCTCTCCAGCATTTATTATTTGCAGACTTTTGGATGATGACCATCTGACTGGTGTGAGGTGATACCTCATTGCAGTTTTGATTTGCATTTCTCTAATAATTAATGATGTTGAGCATCTTTTCATGTGCCTGCTGGCCATCTGTATATCTTCTTTGGAGAAATGTCTCTTTAGGACTTCTGCCTATTTTTTTGGTTGGGTTCTTTTTTTTTTTTAATATTAGGCTGTATGAGCTGTTTGTATATTTTGGAAATTAATCTCTCATCAGTCTCATTGCTTGCAAATATTTTCTCCCATTCTTGCTTGTCTTTTCATTTTGTTTATGGTCTCCTTTGCTGTGGAAAAGCTTTTCTTAAGTTTAATTAGGCCCCATTTGTTAATTTTTATTTTATTTTTATTTTTCCTTTTATTTCCATTACTCTAGGAACAAGTTCCAAAAAAATATTGCTGCAATTTGTGTCAAAGAGTGTTCTGCCTATGTTTTCCTCTAGGAGTTTTACAGTATCCAGTTTCACATTTAGGCTTTTAATCCATGTTGAGTTTATTTTTGGATATGGTGTTGGAGAATGTTCTCATTTCATTCTTTTACATGTAGCTGACTGGTTTTCCTAGCACCACTTATTGAAGAGACTGTCTTTTTTCCATTGTATGTTCTTGCCTCCTTTGTCATACATTAATTGACCTTAAGTGTATGGGTTTATTTCTGGACTCTCTATGAGGATTTGATTCTTATCTTCTGGAGGCTTCCTCACCCAACTCTGAGAGACATTCTTGTTTCTTTCAGTAGCATCACTGGTTGTATTCTAAACAATTGGTTTGTGTATCTTGTAGGTATTTTTTAGATTATGTAACCATGATGAGATTTCACACTTTTCTCATTGGTTTCTCAAAAGCATAGGACCAAATTTGAGACTTAGAGCATACTTAGCCTCACCCCTCCCTGGTGATATTTTGTTTTCTCCCTTATTTTTCTTCATTTCCTTTGCCTCATACTTATTTTACGTTACTGAATTGGATTTTCTTGCACTCTTACTAGTTTTAAATCATTCCTGAGACAAGGTATATTGTTTAGAAAGTAACTGTTCATTCATTCATTTACGTCCCTTTACAGTTCATGAACCCTCAACCTACAGATGTTCAGTGAGCACACACAGAAAGATGAGAAAAATGGATCACTCACATTTTAGGGTGGAAACATTATAGGAGGAACTGGCAAAGGAGACTGGAAAGAACTCATGAGACAGTTCTCTTTCTGACAGACCTGTGTCATGGAAGTCAAGAAAGGGACATTGACTGTAGATCAAATGTTGCAGAGAGATTAACTACAATAAAGTCTGCCAATAGCCCACTGGGATTGGATAATTGGGTGACGATGACCAGAAACAGCAATTGCATTGACCCCATGGAATCCATTGCCTGATTTCCAAGAAATGAGTCAAAGCAGAAAATAAAGATAATTCTTGTAAAGCATTTGAGGGAAATAGGAGATATTAGAGATAGCTAGAGGCTGACTTGTGATCAGGGAGGAAGCTGCATTTCATACTGAAGAGATCTGGGCATGTTAAAACTTCAGATTTGAGAAAGCAGAATAAAAGCACGGGAAGAGCAATAGGAAGCAGTGGGTCGGGTTTTGGTGATTGAAGGCTCAGGGCAAAGATTGAGTTAAGGATTTCAGAGGCAGTGCTGATTGGGTCCAGCAGGTAGCCAGGCAGGTAGCTGCAATATGAGAAAGTCAAGAAGCTTCAAGACTAAAGTACTGAATTTATCATCCATGTAGATGGCAAAGTCACCCAGGATCATGGCATGATGACCACGATCCAGATACCAAAACCCTCAACAAATGAGAAGGAGTGACCTCAACAGGGTGACAGCCAGAACAAGGTTAGACTGTGGTATGGTCACAAGGCAAAGTCCAAAATGGAAGGACGTTTTGCTTAAAGATGGAAAGGAGACGGTTTGCCAGGAATAATGGCAATATGGGGACAGTTCAGTGCTGCCTCAGAGCCTATGGGATATGTCTCTGATCGGAGGCAACATTTTAAGGAATCTCTGTGTGAGACTTCTGCAGGAGGCAACATTTTAAGGAATCTCTGGGTGAGACTTCTGCAGGGAGGCAAGGAGGAGGGACCCAGCTGGAGGAAAGCTGAACTTCAGTTGGGGCAAGAAGGTGCTGTTTGTTTGGAGAAAGGTTAGAGATGGGGGCTAGAGGAGAAAAGTTCACATCCATCTGTCTCCTATTTCCTTGAAAAAGAGATGACCATAACACACACAAGCCTCCAAATACGTAGATGTCAGTTTAAGGATGTTGCGCCTGAAAAGCAAATCTGAAATGCCAAAGAAATGGAAACTTCTCCCAACACATAGGCAGTAGCAGCCACCACAGTCTTTACCCTGATGCAACCCATGCTATGAAACTTCTATTTATTTGAAAGAGGAGGGAGACAGAAGGAGGAGTAAGATGACCACAGCGCCAGTGAGTATCTAATCTGTCAGGGCGGGGGTGGAGGACACAATGCTTTTAAGGCATCAATAAATAAACAGTTCTAATACGAGACGAGGGGCACCCAGTGCTTTCCCTTTAGAACTCATGGGAAGTGGATTAGGTAAAGAGCTCTATTAACATCCTGGAGGGAGAAAACCTGGGCTTGTCGGTGTCCTTTCATAAATCAAAGGATATCAAATTTACATGACTGTCTTGCTTATAACTTTTTAAAAATTAGTTTCTTTCATGTTGTGCAGCGAAAGAAAATACCTATTAGTAGCTACAGTCACTTTGATGTTCTAATAATTCTCAGAGAGCATTTTTAAGTGAAATATAGAAGCCCATTATTGTATCACATAGGATTCAAACTCTTGGGCATTTGGGCAGGGGGTGAGGGGATCCAAGTAACTGGATTTTTCTGTAAAGATTATTTTGTATTGTATATTATCACACATCTTAAAGAGTTTTAACTCTGAGCTCTGAATATTGCACAGTCTGGGTAGCAGCCAGATTGATACAATAAGTCCTAATGTCTCTAAATTAAAAAGTCAGTAGCTATTTGCCAGCTAAATTTTCAATCTGCTACATCAGTTTCTGCATAGAAACTATACCTTCTAGAATTCTACATTTTATAACTCACTTCCTCATAATAAATAATGTGTATTTAGTGCAATATCAAGCTCTGCCCTTTTTGCTTTTTTACATTTATGTAACTTTCTAAGTGCATAATTTTCTATAAAGCTAAAAAAGGACTGTTGCAATGGTTATTTCCATCAGCTTAAATGTGCATTATAAAAAAATGATATAAAAAAAAAGTTGCTGGCTTCCTTTTCACCAAAACAATCCACTTCTAATTGGAACAGCCAAGCTGCTCGAATATTGTTATCTTATACATTTGATTTACAATCGATGTTTTCCCCATCATTATCATCTAATTTTAAAAACTATAAGCATCTATCAAATACATGGTTCAAAGTAAAAGCAATAATTTAAAACAGACTCGCTTAAAGTAAATATTCCTGGAAATTAAAAAATAAATGCTCATTGACATTTTCTGCCATCAAAGTGCAGCACCTCAAAAGAGAAATCTGAACCATCAATGTAGCACAGTTTACAAAAGAAATGAGACATAAAAGTTTTGATTGTATTTAAATAAACTTTTTCTGATCCACTATCTCTTGCCTGCTCAACCTCTGTTTCTCATACCACCACCACCACCCCGCCCACCGCTTTATCTCAATTTCCTTTTAGATTGGCAGTAAAATCTGACAGTGTTTTGTTGTACGGCTGATTGCATTGGTATCATGCTAAAAATAAGAGTAATGCATTAAAAAAAATCCATACTCCAAGAATACTTTTGAAATTCCTCCTCATTTTTCTAATACTTTTATGGGGATTTTTATAATTAAATATTTCATCTATACTATTTAATATACAATGAATGTGAACTAGACTTCTAATGAGCTTCCTTCCTTCCTTCCTTTTCGTCATTTCTTCCTTTCTTCTTTCTCTCTTTCCAAATGTAAGTCAATTACTCCTACACCATGTATTAAGTAATAGATTCTTTCCCCTTTGATCCTAATAACACCTTTATCATATATTAAATTCTTGCATTCATAATAGTTCATGCTTTCACAGTGCTTACAGCAAACCAGGCTTTGCTTTAATATTATACATATATTGCCCTTACAGAAACCCTATGCAGTATGAACCACTTTATCCTAATTTTACAGATGAGCTATTTGAAATACAGAGAATTTACGACTTTGTCCAAGGTCACACACTACAATGCTCTCATCTGTACATATATTTTTATCCTAAACTCTACTCTGTCCCATTAACAATCCCTCAGCTGGGATCATACTTTCAATCACCGCAGCTTTACAGCACATTTTGACATCTCCTGGGGAACATGCCCCTTTGTTCTTTTACTGTTTTCTTGCTATTTTCAATCTTTAATGTAAATTTCATCATTCACTTGACACATTAAAAAATACGTATTTTCAACAGAATTGTATGAAACTGACAGATTCGGAGAGAATGTCTATCTTTATAACACTGAGTTATCCCATCCAGGAACATGCCAAGATTCCTCATTTACCTGGATCTTCCTTTTGTGCTCCTCAGCCAACGTTATGGTTTTCTTCATATAAATTTCACACATTTCTTGCTAAATTTATCCACAGGCATTATATTTTTTCCTATTTTTTTCATTACATTTCCAGTCTCTCACAGGTTAAGATATCAATCAGAAAGCTCTGGATTTTTTTGAATATTTCCCACATTTACTGAATTCTGTTATTCCTTTCTAAAAAGATTTTCAGTGGATTTTGAGACATTTAATTATATCTTCTGAAAAGAAAAATAATTGTGTCCAATTCTTTCCAATATTTGTAGTCCTTTGTTTTCCCATTTTATTGCTTTGATGAAAACCTCTAGAACAATATTAAATAAGGTGTTAAGACAGAAAGTATTGGTTACCCCCCAGTATCTATTCTTTTCTTCACCCATGGGAAACTCCAGTTTTCAGATGAGCACACAGCTATTCAGAATAAAGGCTACAGTTTCCAGCATCCCTTGCAACAAGGTGAGGCCATGTGGCCAATTACTGGACAATGTTAGCAGAGTATAACGTGGCAACGTCCATGAGCATTTTTTTAAAATAGCAGACACCACAGTAGTCTCCTTTCTTCTTTACCCGTTGTCCATTTCTCCATCCTTCTGCCTTAAATACAGATATGATATCTGGAACTGAAGTTGTCATCTTAAAATGAGAACAAAGACCACACCAGGAGTAACAGAATGAGTCTTGGTACCTGAAGAGGCCATGGAATAGGCCCTCTTTACCACCCTTAATTGCCTTTCTCCAGTTTTCTTGAAAGAAGGGAGAGAAATAAAAATCAAACCTAATCCTAACAGAGACAGTTGGGATAGTGACAATCACCCTTTTTCCTGAACATAATGGGAATACCACTTGGTATGATACTGGTCATTGGCTTCTTATATATACTGTTTCTCAACTTAGGAGCTCCCTTCTAACTCTAATTTATAAGAAATTTTAAATCAGAAATGACTGTTAATTTTATCAAATGATTCTTTGGATCAGCACTGTCCAATAGAACTTCCCACAACGATGGAAATGTTCATATCTGTGCTAACTCCATAGCCACGAGCCACATGTGGGTACCGGCACTTGAAATATGGCTAGTGGGAATAAGGAACCAAAAATATTAATAATTTAACTTCAATTATTCAAATTCCCATTAGAATAGCTGCATGTGGCTAAGGTCTGCCATGTTGGGCAGAGGAGATCCAGATGATCATATAGACATTCTCTTTTAATCTAATAATATAAGATATTGAAATAACAGACACAGTATTGTTGAAACATCTTTCATTGCTGAAACAAGATCCATTTCATAACACTAAATTTGACTTGCTAATATATTATTAATGTAGTAAGATGGAGAAAATTGCTTTCACCGGGATCCTTAGAGAAAGCACTATGTTTGTTCAGAAGAAATGCTTCACAAATCTCTTGGGGTGGTATATAAGACGTAGAGGAAATGCGCAAATAATAAGGGTAGTGGAATTTGCTCTCCGTAATGAAGGAGTACAGAATTTTATGTCCTAAACAGGAAAACTGACAGGGACAGAGTGGAGCCTGTGAGTCTGAGCACTGCATCTGCGAGAGAAGGAGAGACGTACGACGTAAGGGATACCACAGAAAAAGGAACTGGGAAGAAGAGAAATTTCAGAGATTTTTCTGCAAAATTCTAAATATCATGTGATACAATTCTTCCTTTGGTCCCCTCAAATTTTCAGTGACGTCTACAAAGATCACTAATGTTGTTGGGGTTGGGGGAGTGTTATATTTATTGGATGTGTTCACAGATATTCTGTTTCTTTGTCCTTCCAGATGTGTGGTGGGATTTAATTTTCTTAACTTCCTAAAATTGGCTGTGGTTTGCACTGACCAATAAATGTGAGTGGCAGTAATATACATATATACCTCATCTTCTTTATCCATTCATCTGTCTATGAACACTTAGGTTGCCTCCATGTCTTGGCTACATAAATAGAGCTGCTATGAACACTGGAGTGCATGTCTCTTTTCAAATTTTAGTTTCCTCTAGATATGTGCCCAGGAATGGGATTGCTCCATTATATGGTAAGCCTACTTTTAGTTTTCTAAGGAATCTCTATACTGTCCTCCATAGTGGCTGCACCAATTTACATTCTCAACAACATTCCTTTCCTCCACACCCTCTCCAGCATTTACTATTTGTATATTTTTTGATGATGGCCATTCTGACCAGGATGAGGTGATACCTCATTGTAGTGTTGATTTGCGTTTCTCTAATAATGAGCGATAGTGAGCATCTTTTCATGTGCTTGTTAGCCATCTGTGTATTTTCTATGGAGAAATGTCTCTTTAGCTCTTCTGCCCCTTTTTTGAATGGGTTCTCTGGTTTTTGATATTGAACTGTATGAGTTGTTTGTATATTTTGGAAATTAATCAATCCCTTGTCGGTCTCATCATTTGCAAATATTTTCTCCCATTCTGTAGGTTGTCTTTTCATTTTATTTATGGTTTCCTTTGCCATGCAAAAGCTTTTAAGTTTAATTAGGTCTCATTTGTCTAGTTTTGTTTTTATTTATGTTACTCTAGGAGTCAAATCCAAAAAAAAACATTGCTGCAATTTATGTCAAAGAGTGTTCTGCCTATGTTTTCCTCTAGGAGTTTTGCAGTATGTGGTCTTACATTTAGGTCTTTAATCTATTTTGAGTTTATTTTTGTATACGGTGTTAGAGAATGTTCTAATTTCATTCTTTTACATGTATCTATCCAGTTTTCCCAGCAACACTTATTGAAGAGACTATCTTTTCTCCATTGTACATTCTTACCTCCTTTGTCATAGATTACTTGACCATAAGTGTGTGGGTTTATGTCTGGGCTTCTATCCTGTTCCATTGATCTATTTGTCTGTTTCTGCGCCAGTACCATACTGTTTTGAGTACTGTAGCTTTGTAGTATAGCCTGAAGTTAGGGATCATGACTCATTCAGCTCTGCTCTTCTTTCTCAAGATTGTTTTGGCTTTGCAGGGTCTTTTTTGTTTCCATACAAATTTTAAAGCATTTTGTTCCAGTTCTGTGAAAAATACTGCTGGTAATTGGATAGAGATTACACTGATTTGTTGATTGCCTTTGGTAGTATGGTCATTTTAACAATATTTATTCTTCCAATCCAAGAACATGGTATATTGTTCCATATGTTTGTATCATCTTTCATTTCTTTCATCAGTGTCTTAAGAGTTTTTGAAGTACAGGTCTTTTGCCTCCTTAGGTAGGTTTATTCCTAAGTATTTATTCTTTTTGATGTGATAGTAAATGGGATTTTTCCTTAATTTCTCTTTCTTCTTTTTCATTGCAGATGAGATGTAATTCATATAGGAGGGAATAGTTGTGACCACCCCCAGTTATAGGCTTACATCACCCCCATTTAGCAACCAAGAAGAACAGAACCTTTCCCACAGATGTGAATACAAAATTACAGGAGAGCACTCTGATGAACTCTACTTGGGTCACATGCCCCACCATGGATCATTATATGCAAGAATATATTACATATGGTTTAACAGGATTGGTTTACCTGTGACCAGGAATCACTGTAATATCGCACTATCATAATTATCATATAACTGACGTGGGGGAGGAGCCACCTCCAAAGGAGGGAGTGGTACTAACTGATAAAAGAAAAATGAGAGAGAAAGATAGAGGGACAAACATAATTATTAGGCAAAACAAACAAACAAACAAACAAAACACAGTAGGTGCTCACTCCCCTCCAAAATGGGCTCAGCTCTAGAGAGGAATTAATCTTTGGTGACCTTTTTCAATTCCTTCCATGGTCATTGGTCCATTTGGGTTTTCCTAACTCCACTTGAGTCAATTTTAATAATTTACATTTTTATTAGAAAAATCACTTATTTTATCAGATTTTCAAATGTGTTTGCAAAAATTGAACAGGTTTTTCCACGTAATGTCCATCAGCAGGAAAGCCAATGGCACAATGCCAAAGGCAATGTCATAAAAGCAATCCTCTGGGGAACTAAATCAAAAGTATTTCAGGCTGCAGCTCTCTCTTTGGTTAATCCAAGGGCAAAATTGAGTGTGTCCAGAGAATGGATGGACTGCATATCCTTCAGGGAATCCTCCAAATACATTACCTTTCACAATGGGGCTTTTGCTAGGTACTGGGCAGCAGAGATTTCTAGGTTATAACCTCTGACAAGACCTGGGAGTACAAATAATTTTACAATGTTCAATTGCATGTTTCATTGGTCAGTAAAAATGAATAGAGCTGGCACTCTCCTGAGAAAGTTGAGACATCTAAACAGAACACACGTCTGAAGAGAAGACTCTTCTGGACCACATAAAGGTAGGTCCACGGAATAAGTGCTCACGGAAAGGGCCAGGCTTTTCTCAGAGCAACTGAGCAGCTGAACAAAACATAAGACAGGACGACAGAAGCATTCTGTGAAAGCTCAGGAAAAGCCAGTGTGCTGCTGGCAGAGGGTGTGGGTACAGCAGGTGAAATGGAAAGCATCAGATGGGTTTCATCGTGGGGGTGGTAGTGGAGGTGGGCACGGTAGGACGGGAGGGGCTTCAAAGGGCAGAAGGTAAGCAGAGGGGCAAGAGAGAACTTCATGAATAAGCATGTCGCGTGAAACACACTGCTTTTCAGTTCAGGAAATGGATGAAGGGATAGAACAAAGGTTGGATGAAGAGATGAACCAAACTATTGCCCAGCAACTGTGATGTAAGGAGGTCCAAGCCAAACACTGGATGATGTGGAAAGCGGCCCTGAGAGCCAGAGGGCCTTGCATGTCCCAGTGGAATTCAGCCACAAGTGACCCTAGACATAATCACAGGAAGCAGAGAAAAAGTACATCTGAGCCCAGCCTGAACTCAAATCAACACTGAGAAATAATAAACTGTTGTGGTTTGAAGCCATTACATTAGGGCGTGGCTGGTCCTATTAGGTCAAGTCTGGAACTGCTTGCCCCGTCTTGTGCTGTCCTTAATGTGAGCAGTGGAGCGGTCAGCATTCTGAATCTAAACCATCCTTCACAAAGGGCCATGAATTTATTCTTCTCTGAGAAGCAGGAGTCCAGAGGTCCGTGGGAATTGAAGGAAAAAGTCAATCCAACACCAGTGTTGTTACTTATACTGTGCCTATTAACATTCACCTTGTGTGTGCTTTCTTTTGTCCCACACGATACAAAGCTTCCTTTTATTATGATTTCAACAGTGCTTTGCATTACTGTCTAGATGTTCTAAATCCAAGGTTCTACATTTTTCCCATTAAGATGTACAAGATGACTGACACTTACATGAATGACACATTCACAAGGGGTAATTTCAGGGGCTCTGAAAGGCCACCCCACTAGCTGTATAATCCTCTTGCCTCCGTTCTTTAGCTTTTTTCTACTTCTTTTTTTTATTGAAGTATAGTCAGTTTACAATGTTGTATTAATTTCTGGTGTACAACATGGTGATTCAGTTATACATATATAAAAAATGGATTCCTTTTCATATTCTTTTTCATTATAGGCTATTACAAGGTATTGAGTACAGTTCCCTGAGCTATACAGTAGGGCCTTGCTGTTTATCGATTTCATAGATAGTAGTTAATATCTGCAAATCCTGAACTCCCAATATATCCCTCCATCTTCCCTTTGTCCCCGATAACCACAAAT